TTGTCTCTGACATTCTTCATAACAGCAGTGCCCCTGTTAAAAATGCATCTGCATACCGTACCAAATTTGAAGCAACATTGCCTGATATAATGGAGAGCTTTAATGATTTGTACCGCAGTGTGACGGGAAGGATCACAGCTGAGGCCCTTAAGGTAGGTATAATGTTGACCTTTTCTACTGCTTCCAGTATGCTTTATATTATGTTTGTTCTGCTGAGGTCTGCAAAATGAACTGGCTTGTGGTCACGTGCATGTATTTATATCTGGTTCTTGGTTTTTTGCAGGAAAGGGTTCTGAAAGTGTTGCAAGTATGGTCGGACTGGTTTCTTTTTTCAGATGCATATGTTAACGGAATGCGAGCTACTTTTCTTCGATCAGGAAACTCTGGTGTGGCCCCATTCCATTCCATATGTGGTAATGCACCAGAAATTGAAAAGAAGATAAGTTCAGAAGATGTAGTTGATGGGATTAAGGCAAATCAAGATGCTGCTTTGGCAATGGGCAAAGGTGCAGCTACGAAGGAGCTGATGGATCTCCCACTTGCTGAGCTGGAAAGGCGTTGTAGACATAATGGATTGTCTCTTGTTGGTGGTAGAGAAATAATGGTTGCGCGACTCTTAAGTTTGGAAGATGCAGAAAAGCAAAGGGATTATGAACTAGATGATGAGTTGAAGCTCCGATCTAGTTCTAGCAGGCATCTTAGTGGTCAAAGAAATGCAAATGCTGAACCAGAGTCTTTGGGATTGTCTGAATGGATTCGTTATGGAGAGGGTGATATCCATTCAGAACGCAAAGTGTCTGTACCTCTGGTTGAAACCTTTCCGGTCCCACAGCCTGAACTAAAAGCATTCACGAAGAAAGATAAAATCGATCCTGTTTTGCCAGCATCTAAATGGGCTAGAGAGGATGATGACAGCGATGATGAAGAAAAGAGAACCGGAAGTGAGAATGCGGGTGATCCTGATGGCCCTAGTAAGGCTGATGAATTGGAGTTTGGAACTGATATGAACACTCCGGCACCATCTGAAAGTGCAATCAATGAAGAGCAGAGGTATGATGAATTCTCATTTCATAAGGCCAGACAAACCAAATCCAAATTTTCTTATGAACTCTGAAGTAGAATTTGCTCATGTAGCAATTAATTTATTAATGTGTCACTTTGCTCATAATACCACAGGCAAAAGTTGAGACATCTGGAGGTTGCTTTGATAGAATATCGAGAATCCCTGGAGGAGCGGGGAATTAAAAATTCTGAGGATATTGAGAGAAGGGTTGCTGTTCATCGAAAACGGCTGGAATCTGAATATGGTTTAACAGATTCTGGTGAAGATACTTCAGGAAGAAGTATGTTATTTAGCCATTGACAAGTTGTTATTTTGACAGACTATAATAGTTAATGTACTTTCCAAAGTTGAAGGCATACCCTAACACTTGTTTATGCATTCTTGGAATTGCAGAGAGGAGAGATAGGCGGGATGATGCACGTAGCTCTGCAAGAAAGCGACATCGCAGTGAAAGCCGGAGCAAGAGCCCTCCACGAAAATTATCAAACAGAGACAGGGATAGAGAAAATGGTTCAGAAAAGGAGCAAGAAAGGCACAGGGATAGGGATAGAGATAGAGGTCATGACCTGGAAAGTGAAAGGGGAAGGGACAGGGAGCGAGACCATCATGAAAAGAGTGGAAGTAAGGAAAGGGATGAGCATGATAGGGGTAGAAGCAGAGATAGGGATAGGAGAAGGCGTTAGTTGCTTAATGGCCGACGGTCTTTTTGTAAGTTGTGATCTGGGTAGGATGGGTTTGAGACCAGTAGATGACTTGCTTTGTGTTGGAGGGTGCACTGCAATCCCTTTCCATCTGTGACTGTTGGTTGACAACAAATCCCATGACAGGAAATCTGGTTCTGGTTGAACCATTTCGTAGTATTTTTTTGAAAAGTTTCGTTTTCTTTTTACAATGTCATGGCGCACGTTGTATTTGATTCTGCATTTTGCAAAAGCAAGTTAATTACTTGCTACAAACATTTAACGTCTTTGGTCCCTCACCCGGATAGAGTTAGTCTCCGGGTGTCTTTCTTGGAATTGTGTTGGTCATGTCATTACTCAGATCAGTTTAAACGTTTAATTATATTTTCAGGACAAGCTACTAGATTTACTATGCAAGTAAATAGTATAATGGAGGGGTTCCCCTAATGATTCGAGGGCAATCTTCTAGATTTACTATGCATGTGCTTGCACACGTCTTGTGAGGTTGGAGTTTTCCTCTCCGAAGAAATACATGAATGAATGTGACATGATTCAGTTAGAACAATTTACAGTGCAACTCGTTTGGTAACGAAATAAAATAGAGAGGAAAGAATGAGATATATAGAATGAGGTCCAATGGCCCAATGTCATAGCCCGTTATTGATCCACGTTCACTATTTATCTCCGCCGGAATGTGGGGATCGAATCCTTATGGTACGAACCTTATATCCATACATGATTATATTAATATTATTAGACGTTGAATAAGAGTACAGAGTCTAATTTGAATAGTTTTTTGGTTAAATTTTTCTTGTAATTAAATGATTATCCATACAAGTAGATATTAAAAATTGTGTTAAAAATATATTGACGAACTCTTGAAAATCAATCCACGCTAAACTACAAATTCTATTGTATTTTTGTTTTTGATATTAGAAAATTCTCATTCTATAATTTTGTTCATACAAAAGTCTTGATACATTTTATTTTGTGATAAGTATAAAGCCCATAGATTACCTTTGGCTTAGACATTATGGATGTTTGTGTGCTTTATTTCTTTCTGGAGACAGTGAAAGAGTTGAATTAAGAAACTCAAACATTATTTATAATTGGAATTACTATTTGTACATATAGTTGTGTCGTGTATGACACAAGAACTATTTAATCAATCCCGAAATCACATATTGCTTATACGTTAACTTGTTTTTGTTTGATTTTCCATTTTCAAACGTTGCTGTCAATGACGAAGGAGGGGCCTTTCCCTCTAAAGAAAAAAATGGGTCCAGTACTCCAGTTGTTGTTTTTAGACCCTCTTAGCTTTAAAATTAAGAAAATTAAACCAAAATTAAACCAATTCAGGTCAGCAATAGATTTAATTTATATTCTGTTTATCTTTTCTGAACACATTACTGACAAAATGAAGGGCTACTGCTCTTGCTGCCATTTTAGCTGCTACATCTCTCACATGCAAACGGCGAGAGTAAAACCCATTCTGCATTTAGTATTGTAGAAGCTGCATGCATGGAACAAGTGCTGCAGCAGCAAAAGCTGCATCAACTGATAAAATGGATGCTTGGATCGCCATGCCAGCACGGCACAGATCATTATAAAATAATATATATTCATAATATTTTTAATCTTTGATATATATATATATATATATATATATAAATAACTACTCAAACTCAAAACTTCAAGTAAAAATAATAATCTCTTTAATAATTATGATCCCTCAATAGGTTCAATAAATATAATATTCTGAAAATATATTTGTTGGGAGATTAGAAACAAGATCTATATATGTACGTAATCATTGTCGTCAACTCTTGCATGTCCTAAACACATGTTATATGAGTTATTTCTTTTTAGTTGATGGGTAAAAACTAAAAAATTCAAACAAATATTTTTCTAATAAATAGACCTATTTCTAGCTTCACCATTTTTCAAGTTTCTTCGGTATATCAAATTGTTTCGTCAATTTTACTCTTTTTTTATACTAAAAATGTTAATTAATAATATTTTTATTAAGCATCTTTGTTTTTAGTGAAAGAAAATAAAGAAATTATATTTTTAAGATAAATATAATATTTTATTTGGAAAAATAATGTAAATATAATATTATTAAGGATAAACTACAGATTTAATTACTTTCGTTTGAATTTTATAAACCATCACTGAATTCAAAAAACATAAATTATGATAACTTACATTATCGTTTTATTAAAATTTGATCATTGAGACATTAGTTAATGTGAGTTTGATGGCGTAACACATAAGTAAAATATTTAATTTTTATTTTAACACTTAAACTTTAAATAAATTATTAATTATGGGTCTTTTATAAATAAGAAATAGTTTAGGGATAAAATTTTAATTAACCCTTTTTACACCTCTCCTCAACTCCAGCTTCTCTACACCGTCCCCTTCCTCCATTTCTTCTTTCTCCTGCCAAAAACCATAGCTTCATCCACTGATAGAAATTTCTTCATCCCTCGTTTAAATTCTCTCAGATATATAATACCCATCAATCTCTCCACAACAACAATGTTCTTTGAATGATTTGTTGAAACTGAAAGGGGAAACGAAAAAAGAAATGGGTTTGATCAGGAAGTTTAAGAAAAATAACCACGGCCAAGGTAACGAAAATTTCTTTGATTTCTCGCTTTCATCGCCAGCCACCAAGATTTATTGTCTCGATGCTTATTTGCCCCCAATATTCGAAGAAGACTCCTTCCCTAAGAATCACGAAAGAGCCATCATTCTCTTTAACCCAAGGGTGTTTAGCTGTTATTCCATAGGTTCTTTCTTAGACTCCTTCAGTGGAATACAGAGATGGGAACAGAAATGGATGTAGAGGAGAAAGAAAGAATGCAGGAAGGGGACGCCTGTAGAGAGAGAGAGTTGTGGAGAAGTGTAAAAAGGGGTAAATTGATATTTTATCCTTAAATTATTTTGGGTTTACAAAAAGACCATAATTAATAATTTATTTAAAGTTTAAAGGTGAAAATAAAATAAAAATTAAATATTTTTAACAATAAGCCACGTCATCCAACTCACATAAACTAATGTCTCAGATACAAAATCTTAATAAAAGGATAATAGAAGTGATCAAAACTTATATTTTTTAATCCAGTGACTATAGGTTTATAAAACTCAAATAAAAATGACCAAATCTGTAGTTTACCCTATTATTAAACACAGCGGATAAGAAAAAGAAAATCTAATTTTATTATGTCTGTTTTTTATTACGGAGGTTGTTCTCTGTTATCAGCAAACCAAAGGTGAAACAGAAAGAATCAGCAGCAGCCTCTGGTTTTTAGTATTATTTGTCTCTCTTCTCTTCTCTTTGTGAAGTCTCGTGTTTTTCTCCCCTTTAAGCGGCCTTTTCTCTTCCAATCTTCTCTCACTCTTATTGTCAGCCATTTCCTTTTCCTTCCCTTCTTCTTCATTGATTGAGGTAACCATTTATGTTCATTTCTCTAATTTTTTGTAGCTATTTAATCATTCTTAATAATGATCTCCCCTAAACCAACTAATAAATTCATTTATTGCATTGTTTATGTTCGCTTTCGAAGAGTATGTTTTTTTTCCTTTAAAAATGATTTAATTATGTTTATTTGTGCTTTAGTTAACACGTTATGTATGAGATTGATATATTAGGATCTATGCGTTTTTAATTGGATCTGGAAATTTTGATTTCTTTGCAGGTTAAGATTGATACCTCGCTTAATTTTGAGATGATCCGTGAAACGTGAAGACTGTTTGGTTTCATTAGCTTGTAAACTTAGGCTTTCGTTTTTTCTGACTATCATCAGCTGAAATTTCATTTTTTTTCTTTCGATTACGGTTGGTTTTGTTATTTCCTATATTGATACAAGGGATTAGAGGTGGAAAATTTTGAAAGCTCTAGCAATAATATGGGCTATTTGAATTCCGTGTTGCAATCTTCGAGTCAGGTTCATGCTGAAGATGGACGGATTAGCGGCGGCGGCCTTAGGTTGGTTCCTTTTCTCTGTTCATCGTTCTTTGCTTAGATCTAGATTGTCTTTTGATTCATACTTTGTTTTTTTTTCCTTTGCAAGTTAATCTTTTTTTTCTTCACATTTCCATATGTTCAACATCATGTGTTTTTGTTTGCATGCCTTGTCCAATTTGTATGCATTTTATTCTGAATTTTTCTGTTACTTATTTCAGTTCGTGGTGTTCAACTTCTTGGTGCTTCAAGAGAGAAGATAATGGTGTTTTGTTCTCTTTCCTGGTGTTTTCTACTTTGTTATATGGTTTTAGGTGTTGCGTATCCTACCTTGGGGTTGTAAACTTTTATGGCTTTTAATGCCTTTTTCTTAATAAAATTTACTTATCTTGCTTAGAAAAAAGAAAAAGCTTCCTGATGAAAATTGGAACATCTCCTTTAAGATCTGGAATTGGAGATGTATCTGTTAAATTCCCTTTCAGACTATGATCTTTGCTTATTAGGATAGTATGCTTTAAGTTAAACCTTAGGAACATTTCTCAATTAGATAGGGCATACGGTTGGCAATCAGTATCACCTAACAAAAGTGAACAAATACAAAATAGAGGGAAAACAGACGATGAATTATGGACATATTGGAACATATATTCTTAAATTTGGAGCATTTAGATGTGTTGAATTCTTGTGGATATTTATCTTGAAATGATTTGTTGCTGCATAAATTGGGAGAAATCTGAGGTGTTATCTTTATAAGCTTTTCACTTTCTGATGCTTTCTCTTTCCTTCATGTTTTCGAACCCAGGATCTCAAGGAATAACAACAATTCCTTTACCACCAAGGTCACTGGGGTTCGTGCCTCATGTTTTATATCATACATTGCATTTATTTTAAGTCCTAGACATTTGAACTGTTGTGAGGAGTGGTGGTCTGCTATCACTCTTTATTTTCTTTTATTAATCATAATGGCAGTTTCAATTTTCAAAAAACAAATAAACTGCATTTGTTTTAAGTTCTAAACATAATCGTCGTTAGGAGTGGTGGCCTGCTAGCACTCTTTATTTTCTTTTATTAATCATAATGACAGTTTCAATTTTCAAAAAATAAAAAATACACTTTTTATTTTAAGTCCTAGACATAACCATTGTTAGGACTTAGGAGTAGTGCAGAGCTGGCACTTTTTATTTTCTTCTATTTATTATAATGACAGTTTCAAGTTTCAAAAAATTCGTAAAACATTAAAGTAAATAATATTTACTTAATAAAATTTATTGAATATAAAAGTTAATTTTTTATAATAGTTTAGAGTGGAGAGAAGATTAGGTGTTTGTTTTAGGAATGAACAAGTGGGCAATGGGTGTAGATATACTCTAGAATTACTTTATACATTTTTTGGCAAGGAGCGCGCCTTGTGCCTCGGCTCCAGAGCCGACAAGGCAGTTTTTGGACATTTCTGGCCTTGAACTAAATTTGTTGCATCTAATGCATTAGAAGTGATCTGATTGGCTTATCACGTGATTTAAGTCATACGACTGGTAGAGATAGGACGTTTACATTTCGTTATATCTTCATTCGGAAAAGAATGGAGCAATAGAAATGCAGGAAGAAATATTTTTTGCTTAAATAGTAGATTAAAAGTCACTTAAACGTGTCTTGCATTCTTTTGAAGTGATGATCACGCACACGAACTATTAGGTTAAAAGTCACTTAAATATGTTTTGCTTAAACTTGACGACAATGCTGGTTCTTTAGTTATCAGCTTACATCTTTCCTTAAATTATGGAATGATACGAAGGATGTCTAAAATCCGAAAAAACGGTCCGGGACAGCGATTTCGGTCGCGATATAGCGGTTTCGCCACCGTCCGAGTTACCCGCGACGGCCGCAATCACGGTAAATCCGAAATAACCGAAAACGCGACCGCGATTTAAAACCCTGGACTTTCATGTTTCCTTGCAACAGTCAGAACGGAAAGTTTAGCTATGGCTATGCAAGCTCTCCAGGGAAAAGGTCTTCAATGGAAGATTTTTATGAGACAATGATTGATGGTGTTGATGGCGAGATAGTTGGTCTTTTTGGAGTCTTTGATGGTATATTTCATTTTTAATTTTGTCTTCCCCTAACACATGCATACAACTTTAGTAAACCATGTATTATGTATGCTTCATATAAGCCACTTAAATAGTTTCTGTAACATCTATGATGGTTATTATTTGTGCGTTAAAGAGTGTGCATGATTAATCTATGTTTCCATCTGCTGTACACTTCTTAATCTGTTTTCTATTATAGACCTAATTCATCCACTGTAGTAAATAAGGTTGCCAGACAATTACAAGTAGAATATATATACCAACTTATAAGATTACATTGTAGTCTCAACTTGGAGAACGTCTCTGAAAGGATTTCATGTGGATTCTGGTTCTTTTTTACCTCCTCCACTATGCTAACGATATCTGAATCCTTTTCTTAAAGGCCTTTTATTGTCTTAGGATTGGAAATTATTATGGTAAATCATAAGTTTTGCCAGAAAGATTTTCTTTTACCACTAAAAACTCATTTCTTTTGAGAGCATTTAATTAATTCATTAGGTTGTTCCACTACTAGAACAATTCTGATGTAGTAAGTTATGGTTTGTTGTCTTCTTTACCAAAAAAATTGTATAATTAACTCACTCCTGGCTAGTTATGCTGAGTTATTACCTGATCTTTACAAGCATGGTTTTTTTAGGTCATGGAGGTGCCCGGGCAGCTGAATATGTTAATCATAACCTTTTCAATAATTTGATCAGGCATCCAAAGTTCATTTCTGACACCAAATCTGCAATAGGTTCTTGGCATTATAACTGTATCATATAGTTGTATTCTTTTCTAGTGGGTTGTTGATTCACCAGCCTAACTTCTCTTTTAAATGCTTCCAACCTTACCAGCTGATTCATATAGTCATACAGACTCTGAATTTTTAAAATCAGAAAATAATCAGAATAGGGATGCTGGGTCAACCGCTTCTACGGCTATACTCGTTGGCAATCGGTTGCTAGTTGCAAATGTTGGGGATTCCCGTGCTGTAATCTGCATAGGAGGCAATGGTAAGATCCATTATTTTTACTTTTGTTTCCATTCCTTTGGTTTCAAATCATTCATGAAATCAAATATAAAATTTCCATTTACTTGACCTGTAAAACGAAATCTCATTGACAATATTTTTACATTATGCATTCTTCTATAACTTCTTCACCCATCTTGGTGTAGGTGTGAATTTGTCAGCCCTTTCGAAAGCCTTTAAAAGTATTATGTTATCACTAAAATGGTTAGCTGTAAATGACTTACATACAATATCTCCTCTTACAGCTATTGCTGTGTCCCGTGACCATAAGCCAGATCAAACTGATGAGCGTCAACGGATTGAGGACGCAGGAGGATTTGTCATGTGGGCTGGTGTGTTATGTCTCACCATTTCTCCTTCTTCTCTTATCCTCCTCTCTTTTTTCATTTTAAGCTTTGCTATGATGCCCTAAATTTCTTCCTTTTATTATGACTGAAATGTCTCCTTAGGAACTTGGAGAGTAGGAGGCGTCCTTGCTGTTCGTGCATTTGGTGATAGGCTCTTGAAGCAATATGTTGTTGCAGATCCAGATATTCAGGTCTGTCTGAAGACTCGTGTCTCTAAGATGGCATTGCACACCATAATGTTAATAGAACCCTGTAATGCAAAAACCCAGCCTTTTGCTTGAAGTTGTGCTTGTTAGAGTCCTGCTTTGATGTCTTTAAAACTCGTATAGGATCCCTAATTGTGAAATCATTGCTATTAGTATTAGCATTTTATACTCTGATACCTCTTTGGTTGCAGGAGGAAAAGATTGACAACTCTCTCGAATTCCTTATTCTTGCAAGTGATGGACTGTGGGATGTTGTTTCAAATGAGGTATGAAACAATTGTTTTACTCAATGCCTTGTATGTTACTAGCATCCAAGAACTACAACAATGTGCCTGTCGAGCTTAGAATTAGTTTGAAGAAAGATGAGAGAAATGAGTATAGTTAGCAACCATCCTCCTAACTGCTGTTTTTCCTTTTCAGGAGGCTGTTGCAATGATAAAGCCAATACAGGATCCTGAGCAGGCAGCAAAGCGGTTGATGCAAGAGGCATGCCAGAGGGGTAGTGCAGATAACATAACTTGTGTCGTCGTGCGATTCTTGTTCAATCAATCGAGTACCAATCAAGGGGCCACCTCACCTAGTGTATCTGCATAAGCACCATCTCTTTCCATGTTTTGGTTTCCCAAGTTGAGGGAAAAAGTGGGGGACTTAGATATTGATGTATCTAGTCATAAAAAACAGATATATTTAACAGCAGGGTAAGGTGTAAGGATAGAAAAAAATGAAGAAATGTGTGAGGGCAGGATTTGCATTAACATCTTCTATTCAGACTCTGGACTGGAACAGAATTGCATGAGTTAAAGACGGTGGCGGATCTAGAAATTTAAGAATTGGGGTCTAAAATTTTAATTTTATTTTTCTTAAAAATAATGAGTATGTAAAAATTATAATTTTTTTCATTAACACATTAAGTTAAATTTAATCACTTTTCCCAAATAATGGAGATCACTTGGTTCGCTTAGTGCGTCCGTCATTGGTTAAAGATGGATGCTTACGTGTGAATTTGTAAAGAGTCTCAAAGGCTTAGGTCCACATGTCTTAATTGTTGTAGTCAGACAGTTATAAAGCTATTTGTGTTGAGATGTTGCTTTCAAGCACTAGGATTTGCAAATGCTTTATTAGGATTTGTGTTGAGAATGTCACAAAGCCCGTGGATTTTGGAATCGGCCACAGGTGGAGCAGACAAACGCTTCATCCGATCGGCCTAAGAGAGCCCGTCTTGGCTGATTTGCGAGAGTCGAACTTTCAAAACTTAACGTAAAAACGTATCCCTTTCCGACTGGGGTTGTTATAATTTTTGGTGAAAGGTGACGTGAGGCTTCGTTCGCCAAATAATATAGGCGGATTTTTTTTAAGGAAAATATGTGTTGAATTAATTTGAGGGAGATTATTTGTTATAGCATGTTTTGAACTCATTATTTGAAATAATGAGTTATTTAAAATATAATAAGTAATTGAAACTCGTCATGTGAACATCATATATCAAAATCAATTTGATCCTCAAACTCTATAGAACATCAATTTAACTTATCTGTCTCATCATTAGTCACTTAGATCATGTCATGAACTGAAACTCGTCATACCGGCATCGTAATAATCAATGACAGAAACATTGATAAATTGTCATATTTTTTTTTCTGAGTTTGAGATTCACATTGAGTGCAAAATAATGCAATATCATATTTTTTTTGTTGAAAATTTAAGGGTCTTACATATCATTAAATCATTATTATTTATATATTAATTGTATTTTTTTAAAATATTATAAATGAATTAGAATATATCACACGAGGCAATTGCACATATATTGACCAAGCTTCAGGTAAAACATGGTTTTGCCAAATTCTATTTGATTACTATCCTCTTTGTAGTTTTACTTGGTACTCTTTTACTATGCCATATTTCTCTACATTCAAAAGTCCACTGCTGCTCCCTTTCTAATTGCTTACTTCGAAAGTTGTTATAATATTTTTTTTTTATGATGATACATTGGTTAATGACGTTACTTTCAACTCATTATTGTTCTAGGTAGGAAAGAAGCTATCTGAACTGATTAAAAACCTTTACGTGGCGTTTGATTCGTATGAATCCCTTGGAATTAGGGGAATTAGAATATAATTCCATCACTTTTCCATGTTTGGTTCAAGTTTTCAAAGAGAATTGAAATTCCTCATGACTTCAACTTTCCATCAAACGAGGGAAAGTGAATTACATTCATTCTATGATGAAATTCAATTCCCTTGTTGGAGGAAATTAAAATTTGACCATACTACACTCATCAATCTTTTGGTAACTTATTTATATATTGAATATTTTTTTTTTATTTCGGTCGGGTCGGGTCAAGTTAGGGTTTAGGGTGAAAATACCCGACCCGAAAATATATATTTTTTATTATTTAGGAATAACAATAATACCCCTCTATATAAATTTTTCAATTAAGTCACTATTTTATTGAATGAAATAATTTTTTTATTATTTCGGGTCGGTCGGTTTTCTAATTCATATATCGGTCGGGTCGGGTCGATTTTTTTAAGTGTGATATTCGGGTCGGGTTGAGTTCGGTACCCGACCCGACCCAAAAATATATAATTTTACCTTATATATTTAGGAATAATTACAATAATCCCTCTATATATATATTTTTTTCAATTAAGTCATTGTTTTTATTGAATAAAAATAATTTTTTTATTATTTCGGTCGGGTAGGGGTGTTCAAATAACCGAACTAATTCGGTTTAACGATCGAACCGAATTAGTTCGGTTAATCGGTTCGGTTACTGAATTAGTTCGGTCGGTTAACGTTTAAGAAAATTTTTAGAATTCGGTTAACGGTTAATTCGGTTCGAATTCGATTATTAACTGAAATTAAATTTTAAATATATATATATATAACATATGGGCTCAGCCCAAACCATTAAAACCCAATTATTAATTTAAGATCCAATAACTTTTAAACCTAAATAATATTAATTAATTTAAAAAATTATATAAATTTTTATTTATAATTATATATTTATTAATTAATTGTAAACTGTTTTTTTATTTAAAAATATTAAATATATATATATACATATGAGCTAAGCCCAAACCATTTAAAACCCAATTTTAAGATCCAATAACTTTTAAACCTAAATCAATTTAATTAATTAAAAATTTATCTGAAATTTTTATTTTATAATTATATATTATTTAAATTAATTAAAACTTTTTTTGAATTAAAAATATTTAATTTTTATATAAATTAGAAAATTTTAATTTTTTTGTTAATTCGAAATTAACTGAATTAACCGAAATTTATTCGGTTAGGTTAATATGTTCGAAAAAAAGTTTGGTTCGGTTAACGGTTAAAGAAAAAAAATGGTTAATTCGGTTCGTTTTAACCGAATGAACAGCCCTAGGTCGGTCGGGTTTCTAATTCATATATTCGGGTCGGTGAAACTTTATTTTGGTCGGTCGGGTCCGGATGGAGGTTCCCTTGTTCTCGGGTCGGTGAACCAAAAACCCGACCTAACCCGACCCATGGCCACCCCTAATGGATGATTTTAACTTATGATGTCTATTAGCATGATTTTTATAATTTATTGAAATGAATAATCAATCATAAAATTAAAAATTTAATATTTTTTAAAATTTTATAATATATTGATACATGTAATTTATAAAACAAACTAAAATTAAGCAAGAAAAACAAGAAGGCAATCCTGTCATTTTACATTATTGAAATCAAATTCATCTGACATGTCTGCGAACCAAACAGAATATGGAATTGGATTCCAATTCTGACATTTCAATTCCTTCACATTTTCAATTCCTTCATAAACATTCCAACAAACCAAACGCCACCTTAGTTTTTGAGCAGGGAAGAAGAAAGATTAGTTATCCTCTAGTTTTGGATCTTCTTATTTCTTGGGTTGTTTTGGGGTTATTTCTTTCCTTTTGATTTGGTTCTCTAAACTCTATATTGAAGCTTTGATTGCTGCCCGTGAGTGCATTGCACATGGACAGCATGTAATTGTTTTCTTTAAAGTTCAATAAACACTAAACTGGCGTTTCCCTTTTAAAAAAAAAATACATGATCTCAAATTATTTTCTTAATCTGCCATTCTTTTAAAATGATTTATTTAATTTATATTATTAAAATTTTATCTATCTATTAATTTTATTTATATTATTTAAATTTCAGTTTGTTGAAGAATATAATCGGTTTTTCCACCGGATTATTGACCCTTAGATCCGACAAGAAAATATAGAAAATCAGAACTTACAAATAAAACAAAATATGTTTTGAGTACAAAATAGTTGTATAAATAATTTAGGGTTTTGTTAAGATAACAAATGATCAGTTAATTAGTTAGTAGGTGGTTAGTAGACTGTTAGAGAATTAGTTAGAAGCAGTTACTTTTCAGCTCTTGTATTGTAGCTTGTACATTGTATTATATATTGCAGGTCCGCTAAGCAATAAAATACGAGGCATTATTTTAACATGGTATCAGTTACCAGGCTTCTTCCAGTTGGGTTACTCTACTTGGCCCATTTCTAAACCAGTAAGTGCGGTTCAGCTTCCTTCCACTGTTTCTCTTCTCCCTCGTCTTTCCCCAAAATCAGTCTCCTAGGTATTTCGTTTCTCCTTCTCCATTGCTATGCCTCCACTGAACGAATCAGCTATTGTTGATTTCAATCATCCTCTCTTCTTGCATCCATCAGACACTCCAGTACTCTCTAATCTCTCATCAGCTCGTGGGATTAGAGAACTACAATGTCTGGAGCAGATCGATGTGCATCGCGCTGTTGGCGAAAATAAGCTCGGCTCGTTGATGGTGCTTGCCAGAAGAGAACTATGATCTTGATTTACATCTTCAGTGGGATAGGTGTAATCCATTGTATTATCCTGGATTCTCACGCCGTGAGTAGGGAGCTCTCGGCTGGCATAGTTACCCTCAAATGCGGCGTCTGTTTAGAGTAACCTGAAGGAACGTTTTGACAAAGTGCACGGTTCCAGGATTTTCTTCCATCACGAAATAGCCATAATTTCTCAAGGTGAATTGAGTGTTTCGACTTACTTCACTAGATTGAAGATACTGTGGGATGAATATGCTACGCTTGTGCCGATTCCATCATGTGAATGTGCAAGCTCGCAGCAATACTCTAGGCACCTTGCTCAGCAGCAACTCCTTCAGTTTCTAATGGGCTTAATGAGACATACTCGTCGTTCGAAGTCAAATTCTGCTGATGCAGCCCCTTCTTCGGTGAACCAGGCGTACTCCATGGTTGCTCAAGAGGCTTACTTCACTAGATTGAAGATACGTGGGATGAATATGCTACGCTTGTGCCGATTCCATCATGTGAATGTGCAAGCTCGCAGCAATACTCTAGGCACCTTGCTCAGCAGCAACTCCTTCAGTTTCTAATGGGCTTAAATGAGACATACTCGTCGGTTCGAAGTCAAATTCTGCTGATGCAGCCCCTTCTTTCGGTGAACCAGGCGTACTCCATGGTTGCTCAAGAGGAGTCTCAGCGAGTTCAGCTCTCTGCTGCGCCTTCAAATCTGGATTCGTCGGTGTTCTACTCCAAAAGCTCTGGGACTCCTGATCGTCGCCGGTTTCATGGCGTTTGTGACTATTGCAAGATTAAAGGTCACAAACGAGATAATTGTTATCGTCTTATAGGGTTTCCTCCCGATTTCAAGTTCTCTAAACGCAAGAACGCACAGGCTGCAGTTGTTGTCTCTGACCCTGTTACTGCATCCGCTCCTGCTGGTGCCTCTGCCAAGTCGTATTCATCGGTCCCCTTGGCACCAACCTTTACTCAGGAGCAGTACAACCAGATCATTAATCTTCTTTCATCTACTGCTTCGATTGATTCCGCTGTGAATCTTGCAGGTATTGTCGATAATTGTTTACCTGCCTCTAGTAAGTCACTGACATGGGTCTTAGATACAGGTGCTACAGATCACATATTATCTGATTTACAATGCTTGCAATCTCCTATCTTGTGTTCCCGGTCAATTCAATTGCCTACTGGTAAAACTGTCCCAATTAAATATGTTGGTTTTGCTTCCTAAATTCTGCCATAAAATTGCTAATGTGTTATATGTCCCAATTTTACTCACAATCTACTCTCCATTTCAAAGCTCACTCGTGACCTGCATTGTTCTATTGTTTTATATCCTGACTTGTCTTGCAGGACCTCTCAAGTGGAAGGATGAAGGGGATGGTAAAGAGTTTAGGGGGCTTTATTTTTTCAGTCATCAGCTTTAACTATTGGTTTGTCATCTACACATACTTCCTCAATGTGCAGTTCTAATGTTTCCTCTAGTTTGTCTTGTGATTCAAAATTGGTTGACTGTAGTCTTGTGTCTGAATGTATGACTGTTTCTGGTAATAATACAATAATACAAGTCTTTGGCACTCGTTTGGGACATGCTGCTTTTCAACCATGAATAATTGCCTTTGTTACATTCTGTTAACTTGGATTCCAAATTACTACAACTCTTGTCCCATATGTCCTTAGCCAAACAAACTAGACTCCCATTCCCGTTAGCTTCACTTCTTCACTAGCTCCTTTTAGTCTAATTCAAATAGATTTATGGGACCTTATCGAATTGTTACACATAGTGGTCATAGGTACTTTTAACTATAGTTGATGACTTTACTCGTATAAACTTGGTGCACTTGTTGAGATTGAAGAGAGACACTATTATCTCTCTTAAAAATTCATACCTTTGTCAAAACTCAATTTTCAACCGTTATTCAAATAATTTATAGTGACAATGGCACTGAATTTTTTAATTCTCAGTGTTTTGAATTTTTTAGTTCACTTGGAATTCTTCACCAAAGCTCATGCGTTTAGACCCCCCAATAAAACAGGGTTGCTGAACGCAAACATAGACATATTCTCGAAGTTGCAAGGGCACTTCGTTTTCATTCAAAAGTTCCTATTAAGTTTTGGGGAGAATGTGTTACTACGACTTGCTATATAATAAACCGGTTGCCTCCTCTGTTTTGCGTTTTAAAACTCCTTTGAAACCCTTCATCATAAAGTCCCTGACCTTTCTCATTTAAGGGTGTTTGGGTGTCTCTGTTATGCTACCAAGCTAAATTACTCTGACAAGTTTTCTTCTAAGGCCATGCCCTGTGTTTTCATGGGTTATTCTTCAACTCAAAAGGGGTACCTTCTGTTTAGTCTTCAATCAAAACAGTTTCTTGTGAGTAGAGACGTTGTGTTTCACGAAGTCATCTTTCCCTTCCATTTTCCTGTCTCAGAATCTTCTCCTTTTTTTCCTTCACATTCTCATATTCCTGATTCTGATTTTCTAGTCCTTGATTCTTCAATACCAACTAATATGTCTCTTGTTGATAATTCTTCTAGTTCTTCCCAAGAATTTACTATGTCTCCTATTTCCTCCATTTCTCCTTCTAATTTCTTAACAGGTGCATCTGGTAGTCCATCTAATTTTTCAACAAGTCATCCTCAAGTAGTAAATCTCCTTTAGCACAAGATTGTGTTATGTCTAGATGTTTCTCGTGTCTCCAAGCCTCCAAATTGGTTAAACGATTATGTCTGCTCTTGCCAATCTACTTCATCATCTACTACTTATCCCATTTCTAAGTCCATTCTTACTCTCATTTACCCTTACCTACTTAACAGTTTTTAGCCTCTGTTTCTCGTTTTCATGAACCCACCACCATATCATGAAGCTTGTCAAAACCCGCAATGGCAGCAGGCCATGAGAGAAGAGATTCAAGCACTGGAATTAAATAATACTTGGACTGTGGTACCTTTGCCTTCTGGAAAGTTCCATTAGCTGCAAGCGGTTTATAAAATTAAGTCATGCTTCGGGTGAGGTGGAAAGATTCAAGGCTCGGTTGGTGGCCAAAGGGTACAATCAAAAGGAAGGGGTTGACTATGTGGAAACCTTTTCTCCTGTTGCTAAACTCACCACTGTGCGACTGATTTGGCTCGCTCCATCTTTGACTGGCCGTTGTGGCAATGGATGTTCACAATGCTTTTTTGCAAGGCGATTTGGTTGAAGAAGTCTACATGCAGTTGCCAGAAGGTTTTTCCAGCCAGGGGGAGCGTATGGTTTGTCGGCTGCAAAAGTCTCTATATAGACTCAAACAGGCTTCTAAACAATGGAACAATAAGCTGTATGAAGCCCTTATATCAGCAGGATTTCAACAAAGCAAACATGATTACTCGTTGTTCACAAGACGAGTAGCAGACAGGTTGGTTGTTGTGCTGGTTTATGTAGATAATTTGCTGGTTACTGGAAGCAGTACTGATATGATAGAAGAGCTCAAGTGTATATTGAGTTCTAAGTTCAAAGAAAGACTTGGGTGAATTGAGATACTTCTTGGACTTGAAGTATTGAGGTCAGAGAAGAGGATCATATTAAACCAGCGTAATGGAACAAAATATAACCTTTCTGTTTTCGGACACAACATGCTGAAGCAAGATGAAGAAAGTATGTTAGACAAGACACAGTTTCAGAGACCATTGGGAGGCTTATATACTTGACTCACACCAGGCCTGACATAGCTTATTCAGTACAACATCTGAGTCATTTCATGCATCAGCCTAGAAATGAGCATATGGAGGCAGCCTTGAGAGTTATACGATATTAAGAAGAATCCAGGACAGGGAATACTGCTGGACTCCTCAAGTGTGTGATCTGATTGCCTTTTGTGATTCTGATTGGGCAACTTGCCCAATATCAAGGAAGTCTGTAACAGGATATTATGTAAAACTTGTGAATTCCTTGATTTCGTGGAAGTCAAAAAAACAGAACACAATAGCTCGTTCTTCAGCTGAAGCTGAGTATAGAATGGCTATGACTACAGCAGAATTAGTTTGGCTAAGTGGATGCTAAGCGGCTAGGAGTGAAACAGGACCAACCAGCCAAGTTGTTTTGTGACAGTAAGGCTGCACTGCAGATTGCTTCTAATCCGATTTCCATGAGAGAACAAAGCACATTGAGATTGATTGCCACTTTGTTAGAGAAAAAAATTCAAGAAGGGTTCATCACTGCTGAACATATTTTCTCAAGGGAGCAGCCTGCAGACATCTTGACAAAAGCACTCGGAACACAACAACATGAGTATTTGACAGCCAAGTTGGGAGTTTCAAATGTTTTTTACCCACCAACTTGAGGGGAAGTGTGTTAAGATAACAAATGATCAGTTAATTTTAGTAGGGGTTAGTAGACTGTTAGAGAATTAGTTAGAAGCTTACTTTCAGCTCTTATATTGTAGCTTGTAAATTGTATTATATATTGCAGGTCAGCTAGCAATAAAAAGATACGAGGCATTATTTAACAGGTTTTAATATAAAAATGTGCCCCGCCTACTAAAGGTACACGCCTTTGTGCCCTGCGTCTTTTAAAAACTATGGACCTTAGTCATGATGCATTATTTTTTGGATATCATTTATTCACCATTGTGATGACCCCCCAATATCCAATGACGTAGTAATTCATATAACTATCTAAACACTTGAAAATCAACATTTATTGCAAAAAAACACAATATATGGTTATGGACAAAAATGTTGAGCCATGTTCAATTATAATGTATTTTCTTTAGTTGCAGAACTAAACATCATATTAGAACTGATTTATTAACTTGCCATCAGTTGTAGGATCTTCTATGATACTTGGTGAGCATATGTTATTGTTTTATTGATATCAATTTAACTGGACTAAAGGCATTATTATAGATGGTGATTATCTTCTTTTCTTTCTCTCAAGCATGTTTACTTTGAGCCTTAATGGTCCCACTCATGAAAATAATTTTGGATTGAGGGTGCATGAAGCCCTCAAACCAAGAAATTAAATCAATTAGGCCCTCAAACTGAGAAAATTGAATCAATTAATTCTTTTGACCAATTTGACCGTTAAGTCTTACCAGTTTTTCTGAGATATTACTGTCACATGATACACATCTGTTCTGTCATGTGGAATTTGATTTTTTTAAAAGAAATTCTAAAAAAGGTTATTGAAATTCTAATTATAAAAATTGATTAGAAGCTTAATAAATATTTGAAAATGCCACTTGGCAACACTGTTACATGATATGATATGCGGCACCAATGATCTAGAAAAATCTATTAGATTAATAGTCAAGTTGGTCAAAGTGGTGAATTGATGAAATTTTGAAGTATAAGGGTAATTGGGTGGAAAAAGTTCAGGAGCTAATTGATTTTTGGATTGAGGGTGCATGAAGCCCTCAAACCAAGAAATTAAATCAATTAGGCCTCAACTGAGAAATTGAATCAAATGTTTAAGTGCTTTTGGCACTCTTAAGCCACAATTTTGGTGGTTTTGCTTTCACTTGGAATTTTAGGAGACTAATTCTCAGCTTTATCTATGTTTTGCTAGATTGTTACAAAACTCTGGGCGTGCAAGTACATTGGCAGCTACAGATGCTGCTATACCGACATTGATGCATAGAGAGAGCTGCTAATGCCGCTGCCCACTCTCATAACTTACCATTCCAGGTAATTTTTCCTGTGATATTATGGGTTTATCATAATTGACTCATGCAGTTGTTTAGTATTCCATTACTTATCTGTTTTGACTCGTGGTAATGCTGTTTATTCGTTCTGTTGTACGTGTTTGCTCTTCCAACTGCAGGGAGCTATTGCTTCTCATACATGAAACATCTGCAGGCATCTGGTCTGGCTGAAACCGCAGCTGCACTTCTGAAAGCACAATTGACTCCTTTTCCATCCTTGGCTGCCCCTTCATCTCTTGCATACTAAGCTTCCGTGGAAGATGCTCCTTCAATCCAACTCCAGTGGCCCTCAGGTCGTACCCCTGGTGGTTTCTATCCAGCAGATCCAAGGTTTCTGTCCGTGATGAGGATATTAATTTGAAGTGTTCACTTCATCTTTAAAGAAGAAATCACTTGTTTTTCTCCACTTTTGGGTCACAACAAAAAAAACCACTTCCTTTCTCAAGATTCCCAACCACCATCTGTCAGGAAAGCACTCACTAGTTCAAAGCCATTTCCTTTACTGCCAAGTGTTTCAGAAAAGACTGAATCTACGATGAAAGTAACCTTGATTCAGAATCAAATTTTAAGACTCCTCTTGTGTTGCCGATGAAAAGGAGTTATCCGAGTTAAAGGATACTGGTTTGACATTCTGGAAGCGAAAACACTGATCATTGGACGAGGTCCCCATTTGTCTGACACCCAATACTACTCGAAGAAACTTTCTGCTTACAGATGCTTCTGCATTGACGCCAACTTATAACTTAAGGGATCAGCATGTTCGAGCACCAAGCTTAATTGATTTGTCAGATGACAACCTATATGGTAGTTCTAATGTGGGACAGATGACACTTCCCCAAGTGGACTTCTAAATGATCCCAACCAACAACTCAGAACGTTTAAGTCTTGACAGTATTGTTGTTCAGTATCTAAGCACCAGCATCGTCAGTGCCCTGCTCCTATACAACTCTTCCACCACTTTCTCTTTGCACCCGCAGTTTGTCCTATCCAAAGGGAAGCCTTGATACACCATCGAACATCTCTTCCGGCTTGGTACGTGTGAATTCAGGAGTGTATGGTGGAGTCCATGGAAATCGAGCGATCGTCAGTTTGTTTACAGTAGATTCAGCCATGGAGAACGTGCGGATGATGCTGGCAGTTGTTGACATGTGTCTTTTCTGGGGGACTCCTCCCATATTGCAGCAGTGGTCATGCTGGTGAGCTAAGTTTTTTTTTTATTCTAACAGCAATAATTTGCTGGACAACTGCTCGGCACCAGCTTCCTGTGACTCTTGTTCAGTCATTTTCTGGTGAAACCAAATGGTTCTATCATCAAGCTCTCAGATGTGCAGTTGTGGGACCCTCTTTGTTCTCTGGTGGGCGACGGTTTCATTTGATGGCTGCAGGCTGCTGGGTTCAGCAATTCTGGGATCATTTTGCTGCCCTATCTGCTGATTCCATCCAGCGAGAATTCTTTACGATATCAACCTATCAGTTGGAACTAGTTTTCTGATGCCTCAGCTAATTCTACAGGTCGTGGTCATGTATATTCTCTATACTTTTAGTCCATCTGATACCTTGCTGCTTGGAATGGTGTTTATGGGATCGGCGCTTCCGGTCTTGTTTTAGTTTCGTGTGCGAGGCCTGCTAAATAGAAGCTCTCTTTTGATCTTTGGTTGAAAATGACTTTCAACAGGTTATAATAATTCTGAGGTTGGGATTTGAGGAAGTTCAGGCTACTTCGAAGTGTACCTTCTTTAGATCAAACAGCAATTATCTTCAATGCACGTGGGGATGTAATTATGCAATCCTGAGGAGAAATCTTAAGATGTGATTCTGCATTCACACCCCCCTGTGAAGCATCCTTTATTTGCAGCTTTCCGCCATTAGATGCCATCAACTACTATGTACTGCAACTATTCCGTGGATCGATGTGTTCTTGACTTTGCAACTGAACCAACAGATTCCTTTGTTGGGTATTACAATGAATGACAGAAGAGTTTTCATCAGCCAGAGTATATGAAATTGGTCGTCGAAGGCCAACCGATGACGACTCTGATCCTGATGATGCAGAAGTATGAGGATGAGGATGATGGAGATGACGATGATGCCGATTTAGACCCAATACTTGGACCAGATGTCAATGGGAAGGGAGGTTGCAGATGACATGAGCAGTGAGGATGATGGTAGTGTGAGCGGGTTCATGACGATGATGATGGGGATTTTCATGGATGAGTAGACTTCAATGGTCATTCTGTGAAAAAATTCTTGGAGGAATTCTTGTAATTGAGCTTGGAACAACTTTTAAGACGCTGTCAATTTGGTCATTCTGTGAAAAAAAGTGTAATTATTTTAATTTTGTCCTCAAATATATCTGTATGAAAATTAAAAAAAATTAAGCTTGGAGGAATTAACCCAAGACCTAAGAAAGGCAATGCATCATCAACATATTTGTCACACAATTGCAAGTAATAGTTTTAGGTTAAACGGGGATGAAATTAATTTATTTATTTATAAAATATATATAGATATGATAAATCTAATTATATAACAATTTTATAATTAATTAAACTATATTTATAACATTAATACTTTTATCGTTATTCTTATTTTAATCTATAAAATATATTTATAATATCATACTTTGTCGTTATTCGTATATCATCTAATATATATATATATATATATATATTTTGAAAGTGACAAAATTGACAGGAAATAGAGGCGAGTGGAAATGTAGGGAGAATAGTGGCGGGTGGTACTGTACTGGTGTGAAAAAAACGAGCCTTTGAAAGAAAAGAGAGAAGCGTAGACTGCTCCTCCCATTTTCTTTTCTTTATATCTTTGTCTATTTCTTCTGCTCTCTATTATTTTGCCCTTCAGCCCTTCTTTTACTTTTTGATTGCCCTATCTGTCTGACCCCTATTCTTCGATTTTTCTTTGGTCTTCTTCCAAGAGCATTCCGTGAATTTATCAGATTAAGCATCTCCATCACTTATTTATTCAAATTTGCTCTTATCTATATATTTCAGGTATGCGTTAATGTGTTTTCGCCCTTGGAATCTTTCTTGTCACTTTCCTTGCTGAAGCCTTTTCTATTTTCGGCGTGTTTTCGATCTATGGTTGAAGTCGGTTGATTTATGATTGGGATATATTGTTCTTTGATTGTTTATGTTCCTTAGAAAATGAATGTTTTTATTGGGAAGATGGGGAATTTGAAAGGAAATGGAAAAAAAAAACCTTCAGAATTTTGATTTTCTATTCTATTTGGTTGGTTGAAAATTTGTATTTGTTCTGCTTCGTTTTTTTTAATGTAAAGTGAGTAATTTGAGCTTCTGCATTTCATCTTAGCTTTCCGCAGGGTTTTTAGGGTTTGATTTTTCTTGAAAAGATAATTTGGCTGGCGGCCTCCGATTCTGACTAAGCAATTGGGGATCCCGAGTAATTGCATTTCTAGGGTTGGCCGTCAGCTCGGAGATTTTCCATTTCGTAACCAGATTAAGGTTCGGCTTATTCTTTGTTTGATTGTTTTAGAACTAAACTTATGAACAATCATAGCAAAACTGGAAACAAAAGCTAGCTAGTATCTCCTTTCATAAATCAGTTAAAATACCAGGAAAAGTAACTAACCGAGAAAAGAAAAGAAAAGAAAAATTAAG